GCATCTGAAGCGGCACCTAGGTACACGAAGCGGCATCTGGCTACACATTTCGGCGGATCCACTGGATCGGTGTTGAGGCCGCGGGTCGAAGGCAAACGGCGAACCGTTCAAATGCATGTCGTCACTTGACTTGGACGAGCTTGGACGAGCCACGCTCCATTTTCAGACGCGGGCCAAACAGATATCGGGCTGCACGCGTGCTAAATACAACTTCTGGTATCATTTCGAGATGGCCTAGCTGTTGGCTTCGGTTTCACTGCATACTCAAGGTCTGTTCGATTCGGCCAGGAAGTTCTGAACTATAGTCGGTTACAAGTCAAGAAGGTAGCGGCAAATGCCCCTCAAAGGGAATCTTTGCATTTCGACGATAGGTTCGCGGCATCAGGATTATTTTGCATCGGGAGTCACTAGCGGCAGCGCGCGGTCGGTATACTGGTCACCTCGAAGACGAAGGCCTGACGATAGCGTCTTGGCCAAGACAGTTATCGACCGTAACTTTGGCGTCAATTTGAAGCGAGAATCGGCAAAAAGGCCGATTCTCGGCATTTTTCCCAGGCCCGTTAGTGGGCGTCCACAGATACCAGCGGACAAAGCATGCAGTATTATGTTCAGCTACAAGGACATGCGAGTGCCAACGCACTAGATCCCAGACCTCTGCATTGTATCGGAGTCGTCAATATGCATCCGAGAGTAACTGAAGGCGGGGACTATCAAGAGGGCAATACATTTCCCGTGTCTGTAAGTAAGAATATCAACACTGTGGATCTCCACATAGCATCAAAAAGAGACAATTTACGTGAGCCAATATTTCAGCACTCACCACAGGGAGCGAAACCTATGCGACCAGGTGCCTAAAACGCTTTCAGAATATCATAATCAAGCAAATTCCCACCCTCGGTTACAGTGGCTTAAAGGGGTAGTGTGGTTATCGCGTAGCCTCCACCACGCATCGGGAACGGCCGGTCCTTGGAAGACGGTGTAGGTGGCGCTTCGATCCGCAGCTTTGTTGGGTGCCTCAATCGGCCGGCAGATAGAGGCACCCTAACGCGCTTCATAACTAATACAAATATCTCAAAAACGATTATTTGTTTCCAGTGAACTTCCAACGACATGATTTGTGTTTGAAGGTGTACAAAAATGTGAAACTAGCAGACGACAGTGTAGTCGACAGCTGCGAATCGGCCGGAGCTGGCCGGAGCCAAGCTGACCAAGCGGCCAAGCCGGAGCCGTAGCCGGAACGACTGTGCTGCAAGCGCCAGCGCCACCCGCGGCCGTCTTCCAACGCTGTGCCGCTTCTCCGGTTTCGTTCGTTACACTACACTAACCGCGCAACAAAAATCTCACCCAACCACAAAACAAGTCGAGCACAACAACAAAAACGAAGCACACAGGCAAACGAGAAGACAAAAATGCTCGCTTTGTGTTTTGTGACCTCAGAGCTTCAATGTTGCCAACAAAAGCATCGTTTGCGCTAGAATGCGATTGGAGCAGTATAAATTCAATTACTCACGCAGAGGGGCATATAAAATTCAGATATTTCACGTACGATGCGTAACGAGGCAATAACAATGATATTCAATTGTTTTCTTGAATACAAAATTTGACCGGACAATCCCTTTAAACCGGCTCCGACGGGCAGTCGAGTCGCAGCACTGATAACGTACACTTCGTCTCCCGGGTTTTTACTAACGACCCATTCCGGAAGTCGTTACAATTTCAACGGCTCTTTTCAGAGCCACCAAATCGCTGCTTTATCGGTCGCACTCCTGGCTGCCTTTCGTGTCTCATTCAAACGTCAAACTGCGAAAGCAGACGATGCACGAAACAAGAACTGTCGCAGACGAAGGTACGCCATTTCTGGAGCACGCATTGGCGGTTTTATTTATTAATATTTATGGCGTGACGCTTTCTGCACTGTGAAACTTAACTCAAAACCTAAACAACCTTATTTTGGCAAATAACCCACGCAACCAAAAACTCGGATAAAAGCGCGCTTTTTCGTTCAGTCAGCGTCCAGTGAATCTGTAGCGCCATCTCTGGATAAGGCGAAGAAACATGGCCGTCGTTCGGTGTCTTCCGACAGTTACAGCTCCGTCGTTGAAAAAATCAGTTATTTTCTTATTTTCCATGTACTCCGAGTTCCGACTTGAAATTTTAGCACAACAATGTGACCAGTTAAGGATATTTTCGAGAAAAGTTGCTACAAGATCAGTCAAGATCTTGATTTTTGCGAGCCATTTTAGCGTTAAATCTTTTTGTGACACCCTGTATTTTGTAGTACCTCTTGAAAGTAAATATGAGAATTTAGAAAACTAGGAGTTTTCAACTTTTTGTACAATTTTAATATGTTCCAATCAGGGGCGGATCCAGAGGATCTCCTAAAGAAAAACCCTAAAGCTGGAAAAAAGGGGTGGGATTAGGGTGCCTTCATGTTTCCGCTCCGCTGCGGCGGCATGTAGGCACCCTAGGTGGGATTTACAAAGAGGGAACACTCGCTGCACACCTCATTGTATGCTGGATCTTTGTTTAAACTCATGCAAATAGTAGAAAAAGGTCTCTTCAGCGACAGAAAGTGTAGCAATTCAAAACACAATTGCGATACCTCCCGCTACCAAGCAAAGGAAAACAGAATCTTGATTTAACTCTGTGCCCACTTCGCACGACCTAAGACTGTGGTTTAGGTTTTTCAGTACATTTCGATAAACCACAAAAATTATTCCCAAGTTGGCTTTATCAAAATCGGTCCTTGAATAAGAAAAACCCAAACTTTGGGGGAAGAAAACCTTCATCTACAGTTTTATTTTGGCACAAAACACTGCCTCCAATGAACTGTCCGCGAGGCTGGTTTTTGCTCTGGATCCCCACGTCTTGTTCCTTTTCCTTGTCAGTACAAGGATGTATTCCCATTATTCGGGTTACATGAATATTCCACGGTGATTGGATCTGGATCTGCCACTGGTTTTAATGCGCAGGATGTCCGGATACTCTCCCCCAAATAATGACCAAGCAATGCTGTTGAAGTGCGCCTCAACCAAATTTATCACATGTTCTTTTTTTTGTAAGGCAACTGTTTCTTGTGTTCAAATTTAATTAATATGTTCCTTAACTAATTCTTTCTAGTTTCACCCAAAAAGTACGAGCCAGCAAGGTCAACCCCCAACAAAGCTGTGCGGCCATTTGAAAACGCCGAAATGGGCTCACTCGGCTTGCCTGCAAGTAGTGGCAATAGATTGCCTGAGACTACTGCCGGCTCACCCGTCCATCCACCTGATGATGAAGCCTGTGGTGAGACCTCGACTGCGTTGGATGGCACAGGGCATCAACTGATTACGTCGATAGCCACTACTTCAACCTCTGTGCAAGACAACTCCGTTCCCATGCATTCTTGCAGAGATGCGGAGCTAGAAGATGCTGGCGACCTTTTGTCACCAACCGACAGTGAGCTGCAACAAGGAAGCATGCCAGCACAAACAGAAAACCTCTGCTGCCTTACCTTGACTCCGTGGGATGGCACAGGGCATAAACTGACTACGTCGATAGCCACTACTTCAACCTCTGTGCAAGACGACTTTGTCCCCATGCATTCTTGCACAGATGCGGAGGTAGAAGATGCTGGCGACCTTTTGTCACCAACCGACAGTGACCTGCAACAAGGAAGCACGCCAGCACAAACAGAGAGCCTCTGCTGCGTTGAGCTAAAAAGAGTTGTAGCTGATGTGACTAGAAAATATAACAACCTCCAACATCATCATGACAATGCAAAGAAAAAAATTCAGACTCTGAAAAATGAGCTACAAAGTGCACAAGAACAACTTCAGGCACTCAGGGACCCGAAGTTCCTGGCTCATGACCAAAAAAAGGTAATTGCAAAGCAATCCAGCAGGGGAATGACATGGTCTCTGCAGACCATAAAACAAGCCCTACAAATGAAGTTCGCATGTGGAACAACAAGCTACGAACTCCTCCGAACACTGGGCTACCCTCTGCCCAGCACGAGAACTCTGTTGAGGAGAATGCGGAGCTTCCACTTTTTACCTGGAGTTCTCAAGGAGGTGTTCGACATTTTAAAGAGGAAAGCCGACGCCATGGAAGAGGCAGAACGAGACTGTGTGTTGTTCTTAGACGAAATGGAAATTGCGCCAGGCATTGAGCTTGACCAGTCTGAAGACTGCTTCCTTGGCTCCGTTACTCTTCCAAAAAAGAATGACGACGCTAATCGTGCCCTGGTATTTATGCTAGGAGGTCTGACATCCCGATGGAAACAAGTGATCGCCTACCACTTCACAGGAAGGTCACTTGATGGCACCCTCCTCAAGGACTTTGTTCTGGACCTCGTGAAGTTGTCCTATGAGGTGGGACTGAAGGTACTTGCAGTCACTAGCGATATGGGTGCGTCAAACCGGGCCATGTGGCGCGAGCTTGGGCTAATCAACACGAGAAACGAGGACACAACTTGTAGCATTCTTCACCCACACCTGCAAGGACGCCGGTTGTATTTTGTGGCGGACGTTGCATATTTGATCAAGAACATTCGAGGCCAACTCCTTCGCTCTGAAGTTTTTGTTCTCAGCAAGCGGACCATGGAAGAAAATGGGCTGCCCAGTGCCAGAGTCAAGCTGGAGTACCTTGAGACAGCACTAAACATGGACAAAGAGAATGAATTCAAAGTTGCCCCAGGCTTGTCGGAAATCCATGTAAGCCAGGGACACTTCACAAAGATGAAGGTAAACATCGCCATACAGTTTTTTCGAGAGGCTTCAACTGCCATACGGTACAGGGTGAGCCAAGGCCAACTACTAGCAGAGGCAGAAACGACAGCTTGGTTTTGTGAGCTTGTCTTCGGCTGGTTTACCCTCATGTCATCGAGGCACCCAGTTGTGGCCATCAGTCACTTTGACGGCAACAAATACCGTGCTGCCATTCAGAAGCTGGACCCCGCTGCTCGGACGTTCCGCGAAATGAACATGGGTGAAACGGCACACTGGAAGCCGTCTCATTGCTTCCACAACTGTGGTTTATCAGCTCCAAGGGGAACTGCTTCACGAGCATGGATATGACTATCTGCTTACAGGAAGAATGACGCAGGACTGTTTAGAGAATTTGTTTTCTGTTATCCGCATAAAGAAGCCAGTGCCAAGCGCGTATGACTTCAAGTATGCTCTCCGAATGGTCTGTGTGAGCCAGTTTGTCTACACTTCGAAGACATCTGGTTATACTGTAGATGACAGAGAGTACCTTGCAGACCTGTTCTCAGCTTGTCCGAGGGCTGCACCTCAAGAGGCTACTCCGACGGAAGAGGTCATTGATGGCGTGCTTGACTCAATCACCAAAGAAGAGGGTGATATCTTGGCGTACGTTGCAGGATTTCTTCTGCGGACAGTGCTCAAAAGTGTTAACTGCAACAACTGCAAAGGAGCCTTGACAGCGAACTCTAACAGCCAACATGGAACACTCATTAGGCTCAAGGAATTTGTCAGAGACGGTGAAAACCTCACGTACCCCAGCGACGCAGCCATGAAATTTCTCGTCGATTGTGAAGAGCAGTTCAAGGGCCTGACCTACACCACTGACATTTTGAATCTAACCTCTCCGTTTAAAACCATTCTGGCTGTTCTTAAAGGAAACAGTACCGTGAATACCGGAGCATGCTATCCACACAGAGACGATGTCGAGCGGCTGCTTCTAGAAAAGTATCTTCGCTTCAGGTTGAAAGTTCACTTGAAGCAGGCTCGTCGCGACGAACAAGCAAATGGCCATTCCAGCAAAACGTGCGCTGGAGTGAACCTCTCTTAAGGCTCACTTAATCCACAGAGTGGCTACAAAGGATCAATTTGGCAAATGTATTACAACTGCAAACATGGAGTCTTTAATGGGCATTATACAACGATGATAAACACCTCTGTGCACCAGGACAAATTATGTTCCATCAAACATGCAAGAGTGAAGATTTCAACTTATGATGTCAATGTGCAGTGTGAGCAAACTGCTCTGTGTGCCACAGTTCTCTGGCTTGGTGTGTTAATGAACCTTACCTCGAAGCATGCAAAGCGAAACAACACTGGGTTCCATCCTTACCGCTGGCTGTTTAGAACTGAATGAACATTGTATCAGTATGCAGTAGTGGATAAACTCTGCATGATGCATTTTAGTCTCCAAGTTAGCAGTCATGTTGCATTGGCTAAATTTCTCGGCTGCAGCGAGAACTCTAATCGTTTTCACCTCAAGAACCATAGTAAAAAAAAAGTCTAACACCTTCCGGTACATTACTAATTTTAACCTTTGGGTGGTAACTTAATATGGTGTATGTGTATTTAAGATCAGTTAGCTGTTATTTCACCAAAGGTAAACATTTAAAACTTGAAAAGCATCTGTGTTTTTCTGTGACCATCAAATCCTGTACAAATTACTTCACGCAGGGCATGAATTATGTGCGAAAGGAGCCTTTTTCTTGACCTACAAGTATAGTGTTGCTGTACATCAAAGTAGACCAACCCTTTGCTCTATAAACACTAAACATGTAATTTGCATCTACTTTCTTTGCTGCCTATTTGTTTATCGATTAAGTAGCTTCAACTATCCCACAGAATATCAAGGGTCTGCTCTTTCGCTGTGTTACAAAAGTTTGCAATTTTATGAACTAGATTGGACCGGCCTGCGAGTGGAGATTGCATCAGGTGGTGGGAATGCCTCAAGAAATTTTATTGAATGTCTCCAAGTTGTTAGGAATTTCAGTGCAATATGAATGTCTCAAAGTTGCTTGTTTTTAATGATCTGTGCTGTTTTTCGTTTGAGTTATTGTATTTACATTCCTGTAAAGCTTTCAGGAATTTCAGTGCAATATGAATGTCTCCAAGTTGTTGCTTCAGTCTAGTGCACTGCACTGTTTATTGATTGACTGAGTTATTGTATGTACATTTCTGGAGGTTTTTTCTGTTGTTTCTATAGTTACTTCCATAAGCTTTGGTACTGCAGAGTGCCATGCAAATAAAAATGCATTTTTGTTCCTGAAATTGCTACAATGTGTGTATGTGAAGCAGCACCCGCGGAGCTCGTTTCCATGGGTATTGCTTCCTTGCAGTGCACCGTTGCTCGGTAAGAAGCGCACTCAATGGGGCTAACCCGCAGCAATCAACACTTCGAAAAATGGAAATAGTGCAGTTCTTCCCGAAGCGAATATTGAATAGTGTATTATTAAAAAAGAAACTATTCGAAATGTCGAAAATTTGCACAACCGTACATAGTTTAGTTTCCACTGTATTAATCTGGCCAGCAAAAAGAGGGGCCTTGGGGGACACAATGGGGGGGAAGGGCACGCGAGTGCGTAGCTTTCACAGCGTTAACGCCACCAGAAAGGAGGGTGGACTGACATCACATCAAGCCATGCATAAGTGTGATCCATGAATGCTTGTCAAATCAAGGGCACACAGCTTAAAAGACAGCAAACAAACATGTTGCCACTGTTCGCTGCTCCTGACAATGCACAAGACTAGAGATGCCGGAAACTTCTTTCGAACCGGAGGTTTGATGGTCAAACCAAGGGCTTCGAACATTTCCAAGTTCGGTTGACCTCAAACTTTCTAACCTTTCTTATTCAGAAATTTAATTTCAGACTTATTACATTTAGAGATTCAATATTGTTCGAACCTTTGAACTTGTCACATTCAGAATTTCAACGATCTTTAAACTATCCACCTGCGAGGAGAAAAAGTTTGACAAAGTGTGAACCTTATTCGGAGATCAACAATACTTGTTGCAGCACTGTGCACCGCTGCGTCTTGTTGTGGTTTCGCTGCTATCGTATGCTTGTTTTGTTGTGGTCCACAGAAAAAAAATGGCGTGTATGCTTCCACTATGTGTTTCAAGTTGCTACCGAGCCCATCTAGTGTGTAGAACAGCAGGTAACGTGTGAGCCAAGAAGCGTCGGTGTGCATGTTCAAAATCCGGCCCGGCCGAGGCGCTTATGATCTCAAGAAGGCCGATTGATGTTTGACTAAATGTGCAGTACTTATCTGGGGTGCCCTTCTCCACTGCGAACGGTGCAAGCGCCTCCGCGTGGAGTCAGGTTTCAACTCGAGTTAAGACAGCCGTCTACGCCACATTGAATATCTTTTATCTAGACCCTCCATAGGAGGAAGGCTTTGTGGAGTGTACAAACAGCAGCACAGGGCGCGGCAATCAAGCACAGCAAACCCGTGTTCGGCGATAAGCAATTTAGGAAACCTGTGCCATGCAATGTACAACGGTTTTTTTTTTTGCACTAGGTTAAAATATAATTTTACACATGACACATAAAAATAAGGTAGGATGCAGACCGGTTTCTGCTACCTGTCTCGTCCGATGAGCCTTTTGAGCCGATTGTTCGGGGGCCCCAAGTTTACTCTGGTCGAGTGCTCCTTAAAGGCCGACGACCAGACTGGAAATTCTGCAAGGCATGAAATCCTCCTCACCATGGGGGGAGGAGGAAACAGGCAGTAGTGGACAGGGTAGGAGGGGGAGAGGAGGAAGCGGGGAAAAGTGGAAAGCGCGAACTGGTCGTCGGTCTTTAAGCTCTAGCGGCGTTGGGTTTTCCGTTAATTCTGTTATGTGCATGTGTGCCGGTATTTTCTCCGTCCCGCGATTTATTCTACCAGAAATATACGTCCACACTAAAAACTAGTTTAAAAAAAATGGAAAGTAAAATTTTTTGCCTTTACAGGGATAATACAACGAAATTTCGGCGCTCATTTTTTGGGGTCTATATGTTCAAAGGAGCAGCATCACATCGAACATACCAATATCTTATTAAAAAAGTCACGAAAAGGAATTTCAAAACGAATTAAACGATTAGCAAAGAGCACCTTGACAGCTAGTGACAAAGGTTGTCTCGCCTCCGGCCACGACGAGAGAAGAGGGGCAGGAGGAACTCCCCTCTTCCCGAGAATGCCTTTTGTGTGTCGCAGAAGTCGCTATTGTCTCCCTACAAGATTACAGAAGATTAACCCGTGGCTGGAACGACTAGGCCATCCTCTCGACGTCAGCCTCGCCGTAGCTTTGCTCGTCCTGAGACGACCTACGTCACGATTGCGTTGGATGTCACGTGGTCTCCGCTGGGCCTTCTCCAAGTGCTTGACAGAGTGAGCCGTTTACAACAAAAAATACAGCCACCAGGCTCAAAATACAAACGTGCGATTGTCATTTACGGATATTGTGGATCATATTCAACCTATTTTTGAACATGACGGGAATATTTCAAATTTCGTTAAAGTATCCCTTTAAAAATCTGTCACTCTTCACACTAACTACTGTGGATCTGGCAGTTCAATACTGCTGTAGTACTGAAAATGAAATTGGCTTTATGACATATGGAACCTTCATAGTGAAATTTCTGGAACTCAGTTTTCAATATTTCGGAGTATGGATCAATGGAATCCGCGAAAGCTGTTTTCGAAACAGCGGAATGAGTTAGAAGAATTCAAACTTCCCAAACTTTAAAAAAAAAAAAAAAAAATTCAATCTTTTCGAACCTGAACCTTAAAGAAATAAGAAATTTTTGAATTTTTCTCTACTAAACGTAAAAAATATTTCGAACTGTCGAACGCAAACTTTTAAGAACCTTGAAGGCATCGAGCTTTGCGAATTCGAATCTCGGCAGTGCAAGAAAATTTCTAACATTGCAAAGTCTAATCTTCGTAATGTACGAAAGTTGCAAACTTTGCGAAATCAAAGGTTCAGAAAGCTGAAAAGCTGTCAAACACAAACCTCGGGACGTTTGCTACATCTGTATACAAGACTGTGCTAGGAGACAGATTACTCTTGCGGCTCAGAGGCAGCTATGTGCTAGGGCACCTACATAGCGGACACGCATGTAAGCACCCTAGGTATCACAAAAGCGGTGCCACCCTAAACAAAGCAGAGCGGACATACACGTAGGCACCCTACTACGTGCAAGTTTAGTGAGATGGTTGTGTTAGGAGTCGTGGGGTTGTTTCCGACAAGTTGTAGAACTGTGCAGTAAAGATGCGATTCATGAATGCCTGTCAAATCAAAGGCACAGCTCGGCACAGTAAAAAATCATGTTGCTGCTGCTCCTGACTAGGTGCAAGACCATGCTTAGAGATGAATTTCTTCTGTGGCCGAGAAGCAGCTACGTGTGAGTCTTAGTGAAAAGGTTATGGGGTTGTGCAGTTGTTTTTGATGGGTCGTGGCACCGTGCACTATAGGTGTGTTCTATGAATGCCTGTAAAATCAAGGGCACGCCGTTTGGCAGACACCGCTGCTTGTGACTATGTGCAAGTCGATGCATAGAAACAGCTCTCCTGTGGCCAAGAGGTAGCTACAAGCGAGTCCTAGTTAGGCATCTGTGGGCAATAACCGTGTGGCTGTTTTCAAAGGGTGTTGAAATCTGCAGTAGGCAATCGTTACATGTAATGGTTTAGACAAGTGTTCTAAAAGCGATTCAAGGGAAAACTCTTTGGAACATCCTTACCAAAAATGTGTTGTGGAGAGGCCCCCATTCCAACGCATATTTAACTTTTATTCACATGTTTTCCTGAACAGGAACAAGGGGTCAATGTTAAACGACAAAAAACATGTACAAGGAGACGAATGCTAATTGCGTTGAATTATAACAATGATTTACAACTGGCCATTCAAAAGTAACTATTTCATTTAAAAAATAGAGGGGCCTTATCAGTATGTACACACTGGAAAACATGCCTTATACACGCTGAGGAATGTTGGAGCAGGCAGGCATACACGAAGCAAACACGCCGAGGAGCGCACGTCAACCGACTACGAATCGCCCGTCAGACCAGCCTGTAGTCGATCACTGTTGCTAAATACGCATCTGAGCAGATACTTATTGAACACATCCCGAGTACACGCTGAAGCACATATTTAAAACACACAAATAGGCACACACCGCGACACGTTAGGTCACGGACAGGAACACACGAAGTCGTGAAGCGACCCGTGACGACCCACTACATACCACTACGGATTGACGGTCAGATGAACCCCCGCTTTCATGAAAGCCCCCTGCTGTAGCCGACCGCTGTAGTCGCACAAGTTGTAGCGTTAGATTAGCTGGCTATCATTCCAAATAGCAGCGCGAACGGGAGACTGCTTGCTCTTGTACGCGTAGCTTGCCGGGAACGTCAGCAAAACTGATCAAGCGGTCTGAAGTCATGATCAAAAACTTTGACGGTGATGACAGCCAATAGTACTGGCGTTTCGTTAAAAGCAACGCACGCTTCCTGCTCGTAACTTCAAATTATGAAACACCCGAATAAAGAGAGCAACAGGCTCCACGACCGCCATCCCGCTGAGCCTTCGACCGCCACTCCGACTCGTCCTATGAGCGGAAACGGAAGTGGCCTCACAGTGTTGCCGGGATTTCGAGGCTACAGAGACTCAACAACGTTGTTTACGTTTAGCGAAAAAGATGTGGGAAAAAATGGCGGTGAAAGAGGATCTGGGAAAGGGTAACAAGCAGTTGGCGCCACCCTAAAGCGGAGCGGAAACATGTAGGCACCCTAGGCTAGTCGAGCTCTAGGCGCTGCTTCGGTTCCTCTGTCTCGTTCGCCCTTCCTTGACCGCCTAGCATCCCCTGCCTCACGCTGCTTTCGCTCTTCCCCGGTTTCCCGGTCGAGCACTGGTTTCCGCTTCCTGACGTCGCTTCCCTCTCGCCTTTGTCCTTCACTCCTCCTCTCTACGCGCCGCATTGGGGCTAGCCAAGCTCTAGGCGCTGCTTCGGTTACTCTGTCTCGTTCGCCCTTCCTTGACCGCCTAGCATCCCCTGCCTCACGCTGCTTTCGCTCTTCCCCGGTTTCCCGGTCGAGCACTGGTTTCCGCTTCCTGACGTCGCTTCCCTCTCGCCTTTGTCCTTGACTCCTCCTCTCTACGCGCCGCATTGGGGCTAGCCAAGCTCTAGGCGCTGCTTTGGTTCCTCTGTCTCGTTCGCCCTTCCTTGACCGCCTAGCATCCCCTGCCTCACGCTGCTTTCACTCTTCCCCGGTTTCCCGGTCGAGCACTGGTTTCCGCTTCCTGACGTCGCTTCCC